CTGCAGTCTTTGAACTGAGGACCACCTGCTCCACCCTGACACAACTTGTACGGCTTTTTATTGGTTTGCTCTCTGCTCTTATATATGGTTACATTCTCTGTTTGATTATGAAAATCTGAGTAAGAGGTGATGATGTTTTGACATGACTCTTTGTTTATCTGTACCACGGCTAATTATATTCAGCAGCACAAAAGCGGATAGTTAAATGATAAAAGTAGCAAAAAGTTGCCAAATATATCAAAAGGTTAGCTAAAGGATCAAAGTAGCAACAGGCTAGCAAATTAATATTTAAAAGTAGCAAAAAGGTTAGCCAAGGGATAAAAGTAACAAAAGGCTAGCTAAATGCTAAAGCTAAAAGTAGAAAAAAATTGCCAAATGTATCTAAAGTTAACTAAAAGATCAAAGTAGCAACAGGCTAGCAAAAAACAAGTGTATCAAATTTATAGTTAAAAGTACCAAAGTTAGCTAAGAGCTAAAAGTAGCATAAGGCTAGCTAAATGCNCATGACAATAAAGTTTTTTAAAGTTTAAAGTTAAAGTTAAAGTTAAAAGTTAAAACTGATTGAAACATAAATCCTTAAATTACCAAAACCAAGTCTATACTTTTAGCAAGACCATGGCTCAAAGCTAAAATTAGCAAAACTAAAGCTAAAGGTAAAAAATAAAGAAAACCTAAAAGTAAAACATTAACTTTAGGTTAAAATTTGCTAAATGGTAGCAAAAAACCAAAAGGTAGCAATGTCTTGGCAAACTTCAAAAAACTACACAGTAGCTAAAAGTCTAAATTAGCAAAACTGTAGCTGAACCATACAATAAGAGAGAGTAGATAAACACTAAAACTTGTGCTCTTMTTGCTAAAAGGAGTAACAGTAGTTAAAAGATACAAAAAATCAGTTGCTAAAAGTGAAAAAAAGCAAAACTGTAGCTGAAGTTTAGTCTTACAGAAACAGCAGCTAAAAGCTAAACGGAGTAAGAACACAAAAAAGAGCAAGTATGTTGATTTCAGAGAACAACATTTCTGAAGGAACTGAAGAGATTGCCTTTCTATAGAGTACATTTTGTACATTAAAAATAAATAAAAGTAAAAAAATTTACCAACATAAAATGTTACACTACACTATTACAGATCTTACCAAAATTTTGAATCAATAAATGGTTAAAATAGTGCAAATTATGAAGTATGTCACTGCAAAAGAAAAAAGAAAAAGAAAAAAGGTGAAAGAAACTATTAACAGGAAAACAAAAGTGTTAACGCTGACTCAGCAATGTATAATTTAAAATGAACACTTTTATGTTGAACATATTAAATATGCTCATTCAGCAAATATTCTTTTTTTACACTAACTCTAAAAATACTCGGGGACAAAAAATGATAAATAATAACACCTTGTTTATTTGGAACAACAATGATTTAGTTCTGTCACACCGTTCCAAAGAAACCTTTCTTTGAGCTGAAACATCTCCATCTGTTTCAATCATACGTTGATCAGTGGAGACAATCTGATGCTTCATCTACTCCTGCCTCTGAGACACRAACTCTGAAGTATGAGTTGGACTTCTGAAGTTCTCTCACAGAGATCCAGACTGTTCTAATCATGGGAAACAAAATTTCATCAA